TAACTCTTTTTTAAATAATTTTCTTCTTCTACTCATCCCTTGATTAGGAGTACTCTTATCATTTTCTCTTTTACTAGTAGTAGTAGTAGTCTCATCACTTACAAATACAAATGATACATTATCACTTCCTAATGAATATTCAGTAGTACTTTGTTCAAAAATAATATCTTCATATTTTCCTAATAAGAATGCAGATTTTCTTGGTAAATGTAATGTACCTTTAATATCTATTCCAAGATTCCTCTCTACCATAAATGATTTATTAGTAATAGAAAAGTCTCCATTATAATTCTCTATATCTGTCTTCCAATATGAGATTTTATATGAATTAGCTAAAAACAAATATGGAACTTTATCTTTACTAGAAACTACCATTCCACCTACAATATATTTATTAGAAATACTATTATGTGAATATAATCCCATTTGAATAGCATAATCATAGTCATCATTTGTTTTATCTATTTCTTCATTACTCTGGATATCTTTTATTTTCATATCAGTCATATCTACTTTATATAAATACTTAATAACCTCTTTTGCCATAATTTCATTCACCAATGGAACATTAGTAGTAAAATCAATACTATAATCTTTAAATACTTGAATATCAAGTTGGTTCTCTGTCATATTCTTATTCTTATTCTTATTTTCTAGTTCTATTCTATTCTCTTTTTTATATTGATAGAAATTAAATGAAAAATAGAATAAAGATTGAATTATTTTAATTCAATTAGATAATTAACCTTTTAATGCTACCTTGTAGTTAATTGTGATATTAAATGCACAATCCCCACTTGGTTTAAAATAAAGTCTACCACAATGAATAGCTGGTGCTACACCTGCATCATATAATGGACTATTAATAATACCTAATTTATCATGAAGATATTCACATTCTCCTTCATTTTCTGAATCATCTTGATTATCTTCTCTTTGAGTTTGCCAATTACCGTCATTCAATGCAAATGTTGTTTGATCACTTAATGACCATGTAGTTTTATATGAATGAACTACTGGAGAGTCAGTACTCATAGTTTGTGGTTTCTCTATTACTAATGTAAATGATTCATTATTATTAAAGGTAAATTTCTGTTTATAGTTTAGAAGTGAATTATCATAACTTGGTTGAATTTGATATAAAGCATTTGGTGTTTCAACTGCATTATTCATCGAATAGAAACAATTTACTGTTTGGATGATATTCTGATTTCCTGCAAACATATTTGTAATTGGTTGAACCTTAATAATAACTCTTAGAATCCTTATAGTATCCCAATCTCCAAATCTAAAATACACTTGATTACTACCACCATCAAGAGCATTTCCTTTATGCATAAATGATAGAATATTACTTGATTTAGTTGGAAATAGAGGGAGTGAACTTCCAGTAGCAGCACTAATTGCATAATTTGGATGTTCATCTGTCAAATACATCGTCTTCTTTTCATTCAATTTAATTAATTTTACCTTAGTAGGGAAGTTACATTTAAGAATGTCCTTCTTGATACTTGATAAGAAAGCTTTTGATTGTCTATATCTATATAAAGAAAGATTTCTTCTTCTTCTATAATTGTATCTAGTTGGTCGTCTAAAATCCATAAGAACTAGTAATATTAGTTCATGCAATTTATTGGAATAATAGATCCTGAGATTGGAGAAATTAACAAAGGTTTAGATCAACAAATTACCTGGTGTAAACAATGGGCAAATAACCACAATTATTTATACAAGCAAGACATTATCTTTACAAAAATAGATAAGAGAAAAGGAGAAGATATTGATATTAGTAGTAGTGTAATGAATTTAATCAATTGTATTTAGTAAATAGAGAGAGAAAATATAAGTATATTTATATGTATTTTAATACACATGGAATTACTGATGAAGATGGTGAAGCAATT